TACATGGAATATCCGAAATGCTACTAATGTAGACAGTAGTCACATGCACAATGTCGACAGCAGCAATAGCAGCGACAACAGTGTGACAGGCAGAAAAACACAGCCAAGTGCGGGACCGCCGGGCAATAAAAGAAAAGCCGTTCTTACGTGTGTTGAATGCGGGGAAGGCAGCAGCAGTGGCTGCCAAGGCGATGAGCGCAGCTAACAGAGTCGGCGGGAATGGCCGGGGCATGGGCACGACGGCAGGAAAGTATAGTGGGTGTGTGTGAGCAAGTGCAAGGGGGCAAAGTGGGCGTAGGTTGCTGCAACGCCGGGCAGCAGAGACGCCAAAGTTGGCAAGGGACAAACAATAGGCGGTGCAGAGGCAAGTGCGTACAATAGCGGCAGGGTAGAACAGAACAGACAAGGAAGAGAAGCAAGCCAGGCAAACGGCAGCGGGGCGATAGGGAGCGTGTTGAGGAGAGCGTACTGAGCAATAGTCGCCAGTGTGCGTGGCGGCAGCGCCTTTGGGGGAGGGGGAGGGGACGGGCATTTCGGTTGCTGATATAGCCGGGCTACAGCAATGCTGATCCAGGGGCGCGTGTCAAGCAGCCACAGCCTAGGCAATCACGAGCCAGAAAGGCATGAGAGAGCAAAGATGATCTCGCTGTGAGCACCGTGCGCAAAAGTATGATGAAGCAATAGATGTGTTGGGTTTTGCCGCTTTAATCTCTTTAAGCACCGTGGTTGTGTGCTGCTGCCACGCAGCAAGGAGAACGGATTTGCCTAGTTTTTCACTACCGAAAAAATGATAACCCCTTCCTCTAGCAGCGGCGCTACCAATTGCACAATTATATTTTTTGCCAGCTTGCTTGCTCCGCGATAATCACATCCCCCCAACCCCTGCGGAGGCCCGAAACAATGCCAGTACGCACATTTTCGGGCCTATTAGCCAACAACCAAATGAAGGCAAGGAGGAAGAGGGATGTGGCTAGTTGCCAATTATATTGGCAGACTTGAGGTTTTCAGCAACTGATGTATGTTGTGATGCCATGCTGCCACACGGTCGCCGCCACCGCAGACTACCACGGACTACCGTGGCATTAAGTCGAGGGAAGATATACAGCACTACTGTATGGCAATATGCGACCAGATAGACAGTTACCACCCTAACGAAACTCGGCCAGACATTCGCACTTTGGATCGAAAATCTTGCTTGCGGCGCAAGCTTCCGTGGCGCAATTGGCTAGCGCGTCTGACTGTTAATCAGGAGGTTGTCAGTTCAATCCTGACCGGGAGCGTGCCTTTTTGCTGTGAATGTGCGATGGCGAGGTTACTATGAATCCATGTCTTTTTTAGTGTCTACAAATAATTGTAGATAGTGGTAATGCACGGGTATCTCTGGAAACTGGCACTGTTTGACTGCAGTGGCTTCTCTTGAGTATGCTCCAAACCGGCGAGAAAATGCCGAGGCACGGCACTTTGTTTTTTTTTTTGCTGCTAGAAGCTGCCTCCGCTCTCCTTTTGTGCAATTGTGTCTGCCATGTCCTTTATGTGCTAGAGCAGCATGCAATCTGCACTCAAAATCAGGCGAGCTCTGTGGAGCCGCATGCCGCCAAACAAGGACCAGCAAGCCGCTGCTGGTATGAAAAGACCAGTGACTCGGAAATGGAAACCACTGTCGCACCCCCGGGCTCTTGCGCACGCGTGCGTGTCTCTTCCCTGGCAGCAGGGGTGCACAGCGGCTGTTGTAACTAATGCGGCTCAATTGCCCGAAAATGGGTGGAACGTGAGTAGGATAATTCAGACGCAGCCGAGCCACTTGCCTTGTCCAGGCAGATGCGGCATGCGCCCCTCAGCTCCTTGCCCCAAGAGCGCGGCTCTGGCGTCCTAAAAAGGCTA